ACATGTGAGAGCCTTTTCGTAGGGTGCTTCCATTTGTCAGAACTGCCAGCCAGACCATTCCCGTCATAACAGAGGAAATTCTGAATCAACCTAGGTTGAAGGGAGACTGGATTAATTTCTGGAAAGCAGCTTCAGGTTGCAAATCACATGCTGTACCTGAACGAAAACAAACTCAACACTAAACAACAATAAAGTCGTTCTCATTTTTTCTTAGCGCCCGGGACGAGAGCCATGTGCACACACCACTAGGGAGAGGTTGTGAGAGACGACTGAGGACGACTCAGACGCTGGATCGTCATATTTCAATAGGTTTCTGTTGGTTTCTGTGTGTGTGAACATGTGTTCGAACTGTAGCGGAAGTGAACGAGTGAGAGCGAGGACTGGAACCCACTAAGACAGAACTCTCGATCAACCACTTCAGTGTGAACGCCTTTTTCCAGCTCTGTGCCGTCTCTGGTCATACTAGATGGGAGTAATTTCTCATGTCGACATGAAAAGTAATGATTTTTATAAAGCAAAACCAAGAGCTCGGCACGTGCATCACACTTTTCGGTGCATTTCTTTGATGTCCAGACGCACGAATGACCTTTCTTTTGTTCCAATAAATTTGCATAGATGCTGGCCACGTGAGTGAAAACACTCTATAGGTTTCTGTTGGTTTCTGTGTATGTGAACATGTATTCGAACCGTAACGGGAGTGAACGAGTAGGAGCGAGGACTGGGACCCACTAAGACAATACTCTCGGTCAACCACTTCAGTGTGAGCGACTTTTTTCAGCTCTGTGCCGTCTCTGGTAATACTAGATAGGAGTAATTTCTCATGTCGACATGAGAAAGTAATGAGTTTTATGAAGCAAAAACAACAGCTCGGCACGTGCATCACACTTATCGGTGCATTTCTTTGATGTCCACACGCACGAATGACCTTTCCAGTTTTGTGTAAACGTACGTGACTCAAGGGACTGAGATTAAATTAAATTTCAGTTTTCGAGAGAACTGGATGAAACGCTTCAGTGCAGCTATAATAACAAAGACGTTGGCATTGGGTCTAGCCAAGTAGCATTGTAAAAAGAGTTTACCATGGTATTTCACATTCAGTTGTTTGAATTGATTCATCGTCCACGGTGACAGAGCATTTAATAGTACTTGTTGCTTGAAATATCTGGCAACATTAACGATACATAATACATCAAGCTTGAATAAAAGCTCTGATATTTTCTACAAAAAAACTACCCATCAGGTAGGCGGATGTTGTAACGAGGACCGGAAATACGTCTAAGTCCGCAGGCTAAGATTCCTCTCATTAAAATGAAGTGTTTTTATACAAAAAAACCTTGATAAACACCCATAAACCTTTAATTTGCAGTGTACAACTGACTTAAGGAGCGTTTATAACTTATGGGTGGGACTGTTGCCTAGGAGGATTTTGTAACGAGGAAGACTGGTGCTTTATTTCTAGAGGTTATTCACTTTGGCTTATGTATTTCAATATTCTGTTTTAGAATGGCATCATCGGCTTTTTTCACAACCGGGGTAAAACGGAAATAGGGAGGGATGGGAAGCAGTGGAGAGACCGCAAAACTTCACAGGAAGAAATGCAAGAATAGCCCTTTTAATTTGAATCTGGTTGCTTAACTTTGGTATATATTTTATGCCCCGATGATTAAAGGTTTATTAAGGTACGATTACCCTTATCATATCATCAGTTACCCACTACCCGACATTGTGATATTGAAAGAAATATATTACACCTGTAGGTTATCGAAATCGGGCCTCAGCAGTAGCTCAACTTTTCAGGTATTTGTGATTTACCTGTCATGAAATTAAGAACCGGCTGCCTAGAGGCCATTTTTAAAAGTTGATTTCTAAAAAAACCCCTCTCCTAAATACTCCTAAATACTACTTTGCTCCTGCTGTTGAGTTTGGTTGTCTTTGCTTCTAAGAAATGAAATAAGGGACAGCATTGAGGTATGTGGAGCGTTTGGTTCTTTTCTCAAATTTTTATATCATATTTTATCAACCTCTTTGCTTTTATTAAATGCACTTATCTTACTGATTTCCTTTCGGTTTATAGCTATTTGAATTTAAACTCGAAAACACTCAATTCTTGCAGGGATAAGCTAGGGATAATTGGCTTAGTAGTCATACCTTCCTTTCCAAGATCTTGATCTTGGTCTAGATCTCATTAGCAAAATTCGTTATTACTTGGTTCGTGGCGACTTTACCAAAGACTCAGTACCATGAGAATCTTTAATCCACGACCGGTATTGATCCATAATATGGGAAAGGTAGCCTGCGTAGCATGGCGGTTTTGCCGAGCGCACTACGGAGCGGAGAAGACGCAAAAGTGCACACAAAGCGCGCGAACGAGCGGCGAAGCCAATCTCCTCGAAGCGTCACTGCTCTCGCCCATCTTGGCTTGCTTTGCACGCCCGACGAAAACCGCCATGCTACCGCAGGCTACGGGAAAGGTCTCTTCTACGGCCGCCGATATGACCTCCCGAAAGTTCGGCATCGAAGCACTGGATTAAGATGCATTGATGACAATGCAAAACAGAAAATGTTTCAGCTTTGTGAAGAATTAACTGCTTATGACACATGCACTGAATCGAGATTCTTTGTGGTTGTGTTTGATCACAGACGAATTGACGCATGAAAGAGAAACGATCATAGTGCAAAGGACTGACTTTGTCAGGTTTGGCCGGTCATTTTGTCTTAAAAAACCTACCGAATAAATTACCGTCCTTCTCTTCAAATTTCACTTGAAATCTACCTGAAGGAACAAGTCACAGCTGAAGTAAGGGGTTGTAATTTTAACAATTGCAAATCGGATTCCTCTCTTAAGCTCTTGACATTGCTCTGGCTCAGTTAAATCTTGATTATGATGAAGGGGCACACAACGGAAAGGGCAGGAACTATTTGATGAGGCCGGAGAGATTACTTTTTGGCTGGTCAAGAACATACTAGCTCGAAGTATTCCCGGGGAAGTTATCTTTCAGAAAGCAAAACCTCAAAATCCCCTGTATTACCAGTATCGAAAGATCTTTTAGTGTTGGTGCTAATGAAGACGTGTAATTACTACGTAGAAAAAAACAGTCGGTTGGACAATTGTCGCTGAAAGCTCAAATTTGTCATTCTCATGCGGTTTTTGAAATTGTACAGAGTTTCTGATCTTCTTGTATTGAGCAATCAGGTTTGTCCAGAGCATAGGTCCTTGATCACTTATATGATCTGTCTTTGTCATGCGTTAACTAATTGTAAGCATCGTAATTTTAAAAAAAAGTAAATGAAAACCTATTTACCAGTTAAAGAGTCAATTCAAAGATGAGGTAGAATATAATTCTGGCGGAGGTGATCAAACATCCCTTTTTTCAGATTGGCTTAATCGTTCAGTGATGTTTTTAAATAAACGAGAGACAGACGACTTCGATGGAGTTGATAACAATGACGCTTTTTTGAACGTTGGAAATTAGCATACGAAAAAAAAAAATTTTCCTATGATTGGGTACCTGTGAAGTAAATGCGCGTAATTGTTTCCGTCATTTTAAAACCTTCTTGCCACTTTGATTTCTAAGTTGCACGGATCTTTAAGTCTTCCCTTATGCGAGACCAAGACATTAACGATTTAATCAGTCAGCCATATTACTATGACTAAATAATCGCTGACCGTTCCTTGAGCCCATGTGGGAGATTTGCACAGAATCGAATTTAGATTTAGAGTTAGGCATTCCTGCTGCGCTTGTGCACATCAGATTTCCCAAACATATAGCATAATATGCGAGTCAGGCGAGTGTAGTGTTCTGAGTGTTTGCCTCACCGACCGAGAAGTGCAAAAACCAAGTCTTCACGACGCCAAAATTAACTATGAAAGACTGACTTTGTCAAGTTTTGCCGGTCAATTTGTCTTAAAAAAAACCAACCAAAAAATTACCGTCCTTCTCTTCAAATTTCACTTGAAATCTACCTGAAGGAACAAGTCACAGCTGAAGTAAGGGGTTGTAATTTTAAGAATTGTAAATCGGATTCTTGACACTGCTGTCTAGCTTTAAATCTTGATTATGACAAAGGGGGACACAACAGAAAGGGCAGGAACTATTTGATTGATATTGTACACTTTGTAGATTCTACAGGGTGTCCCAAAAGTTCGTTCCTCTACTTTCATGAGCTAAAACTTTGGATCAAAACTTTATTTTGACTTAAAATTTTTTAAATATGTTTATCGCTCTATTGAGTACATGTATTCAGAAGTTCAGTAACTGGCATGGCCCCTTTGTTTTCGTATGACACTCCTTAGCAGTTGAGGCATTGGGTGGATTAAGTCATGTAGCGTATAGAGCCCCAGATGATTCATTTTAAGCTTTTTTATCACGTGGTAGGGAGGAGCCACTTCGACCCCCAAACAATATAATTTATTTAGATTCGGCATCTGAAAAAAATATTTTGGGTATTGATCCAAGAAAAGACAATCATCCCGGCCCCTTTCCACAGAAAGGCTTTTTAACTTCTCTACAAATTTGAGACAAGCTGAACGTTGCTTTGGCTGACTGAGTAGAGGTAGTCTACAGCCCTCTCAGGGGTCTCCAAACGTTTCTTGTTATGAACCTGCTCCGAACTTAGCTTCCTCTCTGTTGTGACAGCTACCTCGTCGGGTTTTCTCCATTGTACCTAACCTTCTTTCAAAAAACTATTTGAGCGGTTTTATTCCGGACTTTCCCCTCGTTTCTTGTCTTTAAAACCTTTATTTCTCGATGATCATCTTACCACCCAACATTCGGATTTTTCCATTTTTTAAGCAATTTCTTTAACTGATAACCCAGTAAATCGAAGTATACATGCTTATGCTCTCATGTAGCTAAGTGTTTTTCGTTGAGAGGGTTTATCTTTCGTGTTATTCACAAAAACAAGGTAGAAGTTTGAGCAATTCGGGCAACAAAATCCAAAAAAAAATAGGGCGGGAAAATTTACTCGCGCACGCACACCTTTCGTGCGAAAGTACCCAA